CCCATAGCAAGCTGCTTGCTGTGGGGGCACCCAACACACAGGAGGAGCCAGGATAGCCTGCAGGTGACCCGAGAAGAGGAGGATCCAGGTTGCTCTGTGCAAAACCACTACACATAGAAGGTAAGTATAGACGTGTTTGTTATTTTACAAAAAAAAAAAAAAAGAACCTTTAGTATCACTTTCATGTGTCCACTACTGCAATCGAATCCAAATGCCAAGGCTTGAACACAAAAGATAAAATTATTTTAGAAAAACTGAGACAAAACATTTAGCTTGTCACATCTGTTTTCAAACTCACTCTCAATAATAGTATAACACACTGCTCAAACAAATTCAAAGGAACACTTTTTAATCAGAGTATAGCATCAAGTCAATTAAACTCCTGGGATATTGATCTGGTCAGTTTAGTAGCAGAGGGGATTGTTGATAATTTCATTAACACCAAAGCTGCTGAAACTGATTAACAGGTGCACTAGAAGGGCAACAATGAGATGACCCTCAAAACAGGAATGGTTTTACAGGTGGAGGCCACTGACAATTTTTTCCCTACTCATCTTTTCTGACTGTTTTTCACTACTTATGCATTTGGCTAGGGGCAGTGTCTCTAATGGTAGCATGAGGTGATACCTGGACCCTACAGAGGTTGCACAGGCAGTCCAACTCCTCCAGGATGGCACATCAATATGTGCCATTGCCAGAAGATTTGCTGTGTCTCCCAGCACAGTCTCAAGAGCAATGGAGGAGATTCCAGGGGACAAGTAGGTACTCTAGGAGAACTGGACAGGGCTGTAGAAGGTCCCATCAGCAGGAACAGTATCTGCTCCTTTGTGCAAGGAAGAACAGGATGAGTACTGCCAGAGCCCTACAAAATGACCTCCAGCAGGCCACTGGTGTGAATGTCTCTGACCAAACAATCAGAAACAGACTTTATGAGGGTGGCCTGAGGTCCACCACTGGCACCCTGTGCTTTTCACAGATGACACAGGTTCACCTTGAGCACGTGACAGATTGAAAGGGTCTGGAGAAGCCGTGGAGAATGTTATGCTGCCTGTAACATCGTTCAGCATGACCGTTTTGGTGGTGGGTCAGTGATAGTCTGGGAAGGCATATCCATGGATGGATGCACAGACCTCTACAGGCTATACAATGGCACTCTTACTACCGTTAGGTATGGGGATGAAATCCATGGACCCATTGTCAGACCCTACGCTGATTGCAGTGGGTCCTGGGTTCCTCCTGGTGTACAACAATGCTCGGACTCATGTGGCGATAGTATGCAGGCAGTTCCTGGAGGATGAAGGAATTGATACCATCAAATGGCCCCCATGCTCACCTGACCTAAATCCAAACAGAACACTTCTGGGATATCATGTTTCGGTCCATCCGACGCCACCTCAGACTGTCCAGGAGCTCAGTGATGCCCTGGTCCAGATCCAGGAGGAAATGCACTAGAACACCATCCATTGTCTCATTAGGAGCATGCCCTGATGTTGTCAGACATGCATGCATGCAAGCACATGGGGGCCAAACTACTGAGTACCATTTTGAGTTGCTGCAATGAAAAGTGCCTTTGAATTCAGTCTTCTGTAGGTTGATAATTTTCATTTCCATCAAATGATGGGGCATTCTTAAGTTCCTAACACATTACCCAGTCCATATCAGTATAGATATCCAGCATGATATTTTTCCCCAGATCTGATGTGTTTTCAAAGTGTTCCTTTAATTTTTTGAGCAGTGTATATTCACTAGGCCCAAACTTCACTCTTCCCCCTATTAGACATTTTTGTTTTTATTTCTATGCATATACCATATTTCCGGCGTCTTTTTGTCATTTGATTATATACTTTTTCAATTTTGAAAACAATTCAGGTACGGCTCTTTATCCATGGTGATCATTCAGGTAATAATGAATAATGATTGGAGTGCCTCCAAATTCTGGAGTTAAAGTGGAACTGCACTGCATCCGAGTACCACAAACAAAAAATGCTACTAATTGTTAATATTCAAAGCAAACTCGCCCATCGATCCATGCCTCCATGCTTTATTTTGGTGAAAATTAATTTTGAAAAACACCACCTGGTATATCTGACAGTGGCCATCTTGAGTAAAAGGTAGATGAGTCATGTGTGCATTTACTTCTTGGAATCCATCTTGCCTTAGCTCAGGCATTGGCTGAGCTGAGAACCCTCCCTCCCCTCCTGAAGACTCCTGGGATGTATGACACAATTTGCCTAGGCATGGAAACCAGGACATAACTGACAAAATGTAAAAAAAAAAAAAAAAAGTTAAAAACAAAGTAAAAATTATATACTTTCCTATTTATTTACTAATTGTAGCAGCATAATGATTAAAAATAGTAAATGTTGACTGAGAGAATGAAGTTCCACTTTAACTTAGCTAGCCCTATTTCCAACATAGCCTAGTCATCTATAGAAGGCTGTGTACTGCCTGGAAAATTGCCAGAAAAATATATTGATAATATCTGAATAAAAACATACAAAAACCCGAACAAACAATTACAAATAAATTTATATTTAGTAAACTGATAAAAATGCTACATTTCAGAGGACACAGGAAGATATATTGTAATATTTATCTTATTATACCAATTTATTTTAATAAAACATTTGCACCTGTTCAAAAATACTTGGTATTTTCCCATAAATAGAAAAAAGGGTAATTAATTTTTATTTTATTTTAACAATCACAAGTTTAAATCCTAATCGATGCAGAAGTGTAAAATACTGTGGTACTTCAGTGTCTGTGTAGATTTCTAAACTGTAACATTCTTATAAAAGCAAGCTTTTTTTTATATATAGAAAATCAAATTATATAAAAAGGCAAAAAAATTGTGAATTGTGGAAAAAAAAAAACTAATAAATATTCAAAAGGTGTAGGCTTTGTCCACATTTGGAATGGCACAGGAAAAGGCAGGCTGTATATATTTTAGATCCTCAGGTGGTCATTACCTAAAATGAAAAGTAGAGAGCATTTTAAAAATTGCAGTCAATTGTTTTAACTTATAAACTCTAAAGAAGAAAGCAACAGTTTAAAGTATATCTAAAGGCAAAACTTACTTTTTTTTTTTTGTTTAGGAGTGCAGAGGGAATAGAACTCTTCTCAATCAATTTTATTGCTGTCTGTGTCCTCATTAGGGAGATTCACCCTCTCTATTTGTCCTGTTTCCCATTATCATTTCAAGTGAAAGTAAAAGAAAATCCCACATTTTGGGTTGTCCCTTTAACAGTAAAAGGGGAAATCTTCCAATGGGAACATTATTTCTGGTGACCTGAGGGTCCCCAAGGAATTCCTTTAAATTTGCAGAGATTTCCTCTCTTCCTGCTTGGCTATGGGACAGGAAGTCAAAGAAAATCTCCGCAATGGGACACAGATGGCGAAAAAAAAAAAAAAAAAAAAATCTTGACAGGGGTTATAAGCCTCCTCTACCCTATCCAATAAATAAAAAAAAAAAAAAAAGCAAGTGGTCGCTAAGCACAGAACTAATAAGTGGTCAAACCTTAGAATCCCTTTAGTTAAAAGTGAGACACAATATCCATAATAGGAAGAAAACTTGATGTAGAATTTTCAGCCAGTCATTCCAGTTGGGATTTACGGAAAATGTACCTCTAGTTTGAGAACACTGGAACAAGCCTAAACAAAGTTAGTGCCACCTCTTGCTCCTGCTATTTTTCTAGTTCTCACATATACTCTTGCACATTCAGAACTTCAGACTTTATCAGATGTACTTAACCAATTGCAAAATTTGGGCTTCTAGTGCACGTGGTACAAAAAAAAAAAAACCTGATCGAAGCACCTCCAGCATCCAGCCTTGTTCCTCTTTCCCCACCGCTATTGCCAGTGGTCATCTCAAACTAATGATCGGGAGCTGGGAGGACCAGCACCCAATCATGTGATCATTGTGGGAAAAAAAAAAAAACCCCAACCCAAACTGTTTTTCCTCTGCAAGGAGTAAACAATAAATTGCATCTTTTTATCCAAAAATGTCTGTGTAAAAAGTAAAGATAGAATAGCTAGGACAGGGCTTTGTGTTTTGTGTCAATATTAGCATTAGGGCTAATGTCCATGCTGGTTGGGTGTTGGTTTGTCTTTGACAAGATTTAAAAAAAAAAAAAAAAAAAAAAAGTTTTGTGTTGTCAGTGCGAGTGTTATTGCCCCTGTTAAGGTCAGTGTGTTTAGACATAAATAAAACACAAAAAAAAAAAAAAAAGCATAATGTGCAACATGTGAAGAAAAAAGTCACCCTAGCAGTGGGGCCCTGCTCATGAATACTAGGGGTACAGGAATAAGGAGTAATACCTGCTTTACTTCTGGTTTGTGTATATGTAGAAGTGGTCCTGCAAAACCTCCTCTCTAAGGCACTCCTGACCATGGTTGCATACCTGCCTCCTCCATGCACAATGCAGGGTTATTAGCCCTGCATTGTATGAGATGAGCATGGAGGGGGAAGAGGACAATGGAGCAGGGGGTTAAGGTAAGTAATGCACACTCTTCATTATCTTCTAGACCTAAGAAGCATTTAACCCTTCGAGCTCAGGTGGATTATGTGGGGGTAGGGTTTTTTCCCCCATAGTAGAGTTGGCCATTAAAAGGTCAGAATGAATGTTCTGCATGTTCTGACAAGAAATTTGTTGTCAACATGAAAAGAGCAGCGTGGGAAGAGGGATGAGCTCCTATGACTCCTTCCCTGTCCAGTAATAGGCCACCGTTGGAAAAGCTGCCCAATGTTTGATTTACTCAGCTGCAGCATAGGAAAGTCAGCACACTGTGCATTTGGGCATGGCTTTGTAAATCCCAGGACTGGCTGTACAGAATTACAAACCCTTTGATAGGCAAAGCAGCTCTTATATACAGTATATATTTTCAACTGTGTGTTTTCAACGGTTTTCCAGTTCAACTTTAAATATTTATCTTTGTTCACATTCACAATAAGTATTCCTAGCAACTTTACTTACATCAGTCAGTGATTTAATGCAGCATCCTCAGAGCAGTGCACAAGATCTGGGCTCACGGAATGGATTACTTCCAGCTGGCATTCCAACCAGCAGAGCATCTTTACAGGCATTCTGCATGCAGTACTGTTGGAGCTCTGCTGCTGCCTGAGAAACCTACAAAGGAACAAAGACATTAACATTACGTTAGCTTCTTTATTACATTGCACTAACCGTGACAAAATCATCTCTACTTAAAGTGTTATTAACCTACAACAGTAAAATCAGTCTGTATATGCAGTAAAGCATGCTTGTTATACTCACTGTGGAACATAAGGGGTTAATCCTCTGCATTGTGTAAAAAAGCTGTTTGATCCTGACCTCTCTGATCCTTCCCTTCTTCCAGTGCCCCCCTCTTATTTCCTAATAAAAACATATTGTGTGGAGACACTCTGCACATGCTCAGTTTGTTTGCTAGAGAGTTTTTTCTTTTTCTTGAGAGAGTGCATGTGATCAGCACATGGCCAATCAGCACTGTCCAAACAGGGGTCAGGGATCCTACATCTTCCTAGAGCAAAATGAAAAACTCCTCCTACAAGCTTTAACCAGTGCTATGCTGGACACTGATAGAAGCCACAAGACTGCTCTAACTGCTGATGAGAAAAGGTATTATGCAGTTTATATTTACTAAAATAATTGCACTTCCATGTTGTGTGTACTGTGGGAGACCAGATACAGTGAATGCAGGATCCTGGGTTTAGTAACACTTGAATATCAAGGAACGGTCTAGGTGTGAGAGGTAACTTGTGAGTATAGCTTCTGAGACTGTGTAAATGCTGCATCACAAGTCTCCCTCCTCTGGCTGCGCTTGTCCAAATCTGTCTCCTGGCCCCTTAGAAATCTATGGAAGTGTAATGCATAGCTGTGGCCAGCAGCAGGAATATTGTAGCATGAGATGTAAACAATCCCTGAAGGTCACATGAGAAGGTTCTTGGCAAGCAAGGATCTGTGGAGGGGGAGGGTGGGATGATTTAGTTTAGGGCACAGGGGCAAAAAGCACTTTGTCCGAAATTGCACTTAATTTCAAAAAAAATATATAAACCCAACATTTTATATTCCTGATATGTGCCCACTGTACCATGTACTTGTATGAAAAAGTATCCTGTCCTCTTTGTATGGCTTCCTTTATGTGAACCCCCTGGTGTTCCTACCAGTCCCTCTGCTTTCCTATTAAACAGACCACACTAGGCACACACCACACTATGGCACAGTGTGAAATGTTTTCTAATTGTGCTGAGAACTGAACCAGCTCTGCTCCAATGATCAGGCTTGTGCTGATCGCAAAGGCCCCCCCCCCCCCCCCCCAACAACAATATGAAGGGCATTCACTGTGAAGACCAGTGTGCTGCTGTTTCTCCTCCCTGAGCTCCTAATGTAGCTGAGAACTGAGGGAATTTGATCACTTACAAAACAGAAAAGAAAATGCTTTTTTTTTTTTTTTTTTTTTTTACGTTTTTGGGAGTGACTTGCAGGCAGAAAAAACAGCTGAACTCCCCTAAACGCTACTAAAATGCTCCCTACAGCTTTTTTCTAGCTTTTTTCCCCCGAAATGAACTGTAAAAATGCTAATAAAACGCTAACGCTCCTCATAAATACTATTACCAGCATTTTTAACTTAAAAAAACACTATTGTGCATGGAGCCTTAAAAGGTTTTTTGTATACACGTTTTGCCTTTTAACAAGGCCCTGCACTAGACCATTGATAAAACAACAAACAATAACTTATACAGCCTGGTATATTGATTCTCAAAATCACGTCAATGGCATACAATGAATATGTACTAAATGGCTTCCATTTTGTTCGAAATCCTTAAAATACATTCCTTTCATTAGGAACAGACTTCTTGCATCTAAAATGCTGAAGTGGAATATACTGGTTCAGTATGAGAGCGATTCAAGCCATTTCTGAAATAAATTTTACACACAAACACACACAATATTGCCAAAGGTATTGGGACGCCTGCCTTTACACGCACATGAACTTTAATGGCATCCTAGTCTTAGTCCATAGGGTTCAATATTGAGTTGGCCCACCCTTTGCAGCTATAACAGCTTCAACTCTTCTGGGAAGGCTGTCCACAAGGTTTAGGAGTGTGTCTATGGGAATGTTTGACCATTCTTCCAGAAGCCCATTTGTGAGGTCAGGCACTGATGTCAGACAGAAGGCCTGGCTAGCAGTCTCCACTCTAATTCATCCCCAAGGTGTTCTATCCGGTTGAGGTCAGAACTGTGCAGGCCAGTCAAGTTCTTCCACCCCAAACTGGCTCATCCATGTCTTTATGGACCTTGCTTTGTGCACTGGTGTGCTATTATATTGGAACAGGAAAGGGCCATCCCCAAACTGTTCCCACAAAGTTGGGAGCATGAAATTGTCCAAAATGTCTTGTTATGCTGATGCCTTATGATTTCCTTTCACTGGAACTAAGGGGCCAATCCCAACCCCTGAAAAACAACCCCACACCATAATCCCCCCTCCACCAAACTTTACACTTGGAACAATACAGTCAGGCAAGTACAGTTCTCCTGGCAACTGCCATACTCAGACATGTCCATAGGATTGCCAGACAGAGAAGCATGATTTGTCACTCCAGAGAATACGTCTGTACTACTCTAGAATCCAGTGGCAGCGTGCTTTACACCACTGTATCAACACTTTGCATTGCACTTGGTGATGTAAGGCTTGGATGTAGCTGCTCGGTCATGAAAAATCATTCCATGAAGCTCTCTACGCACTGTTGTTGTGCTAATCTGAAAGCAACATGAAGTTTGGAGGTCTTTAGCTATTGACTCTGCAGACAGTTTGTGACTTCTGCACACTGTGCTTAGCAGCATGCGCTGACCCCGCTCTGTCATTTTATGTGGCCTACCACTTTGTGGCTGAGTTGCTGTTGTTCCCAGTTGCTTCCACTTTGTTATAATATCACTAACAGTTTATCGTGGAATATTTAGTAGCAAGGAAATTTCACGGATGGACTTATTGTGCAGGTGGCAACCTATCACAGTACAGGTGATTGGAACACCTGAATCCAGTGATTTGGAGGGGTGTCCCACATACATACATACATACATACATACATACATACATACACACACCAGATAATGAAAACACATTCTGAACTAAATGAAATTGTGTCTTACATCTGTAGTTTCTTCTTTTAGGGCCTGTTCACACCATAGAAACACATTCCGCGTTTTTGACGAGTTTCAGTGCATTTTTTATGCGTCCCAGTTCTTCCCCCCCCCCCCTCTTTTTCTTCAACTTAACCCCTTGACACTAACGTAACACAAATATGCGGCCTCACAGAACTGGGCTTTTTTCCGTGGGGCCCCATACTTGCGTACCTGACTTTGTGCTGGCATTGCACCGCACAGCGCGCTCCCAGCACAAAGACCAGGGTGTCACTGAGAGTCCCGAGTCCCGTTCTAATGATCGGGACCCGGGACTTCCAAATCCAAGTCACCTGATCATTGTAATAGCCTCTGATTGGCTATCACAGTGATCAGTCACTGTACAGCCTGACCCCCTTTTTAACTGTTTGTTAAAAAAAATAAATAATAAAAAAAAAAATTAAAAAAAAAAGATAAATAAAAATATTTAATAACTAAAAGAAAAAATAACTAGATCAAGGTTTGATCTACTTCAGTGCCAGGGTAAGTGTTTTGGTCAAGGTCAGGGTCAAATGTCAGAATTTTTTTTTTTTTAAATTGGTATCAGTGTCAGTGTGTCAGTGTGTCATAGATAAAATAAAAAACAAAATGCACACTGTTTCTGGGCTGTACTACGGGTACAAACAAATAACATACACATATATGGTATCGCTTCAATCATCAAGAGCTGGAAAATTTATTTTGGGTTGTTCTTTGGTGGTAGGTTATGGTAGTAACAAGAAACACACAGCTAAATTAAAAAAAAAAAAACATTTTTTTTTTTACTATTTTGGGCCAGTTTTCCATTGATAATAAAAAAATCAAGAGATATCCATTTACCACCAAATGAAAGCCCAATTTGTCCTAAAAATAACAAGGTATAATCCACCTGGATGTACAAAGTAGTTATGAAGATATGTACAGTTCTATTAACACGTCAACGTTGCAAGATTGTGCTTAGGCATTAAGATTTGTTTTACCCTTAGGCGTGAAGGGTCAAGTAAGAACATGTGCTTTCCGATGCGTTTAGGTCCGTTTTACTGCATTCCAGTACAGTTCAGTGCAGAAAAAATGAAGCATAGTCTCCTTTTTTCTGGAACTGAAACTCACTGGAACTGACTGCTTTGGTGTGAACTATGCCACTGGAAACCAGGTAACCTACTGTCAATGTGCACTGGACTGCATGTGGTGTGCACTGGACTGCATGTGGTGTGAACTGGCCCTAAGCCTTTTACAGATACTGAAAGCTGCAATTACCTAGTAAGAAATACATTTTGACATGTAAACATAGGACTGTACACACCCAATCTACTACTACATAGTGATCTCACTGTGCTGAGTATTGGCCCAGTATTGGATAGGTTTCTAAACATGCTGCTGACCATCAACAATCACATACAGTTTAGTCTAACTGCTGTAAAGCGAACCAACAGGGGAGGGGAAACATTTTACAGCCAACAGCACAGCTTAATTATTATTATTATACAGGATTTATATAGCACCAACAGTTTGCTCAGTGCTTACAATATAATGGGAGACAATACAGCAACAATACAGTTCAATACAAGAGGGATAGGAGGACCCTGCTCCTTGGAGCTTACAGCTTAATGATATACATATCATATGTTTTGCCAAAAAAAAGTTTTTTTCCCCCCAAAAAGTAGACACCCCAATTGATCTTATTTTTTTGCCACAGTTGTTTGCAAATGAAAAAACATTGTGTTATTAGAGGTGGTTAAAAATAAATTAAGGTGCACTCAAACTAAATTTATTAGAGGAAGAAAGTTAAAAGAATGAAAAGCAGAAATTGCATTGTGTGCAATGGCTAGATGCCACAGATAAAATACAAAACACTTTAACTCCACCCCCTTTCTTAAAAACAATCCCATCATTATTGGTGGTCAGTGACACTTTAAAGACCCAACCCCCAATAT